TAATGTGTTGTGGGGATTGATTATGTACTGTCCGACACAGCACAATAACGTAAACGGGCGTATCGTTCTGGTCAAACACAACTGCAGTGCAACTCATTGTGGCGTCTTAGTGGCACAGAGGGGGGAGGGGGGCAAAAAGAGGGAGAGGAGGAGGACGAAGGCTAGGAGACTTAACAGGAGGAAAGGAAAGCGAAGATAAGTAGGAGGGACGGAGAAGGTTCAACGGACGGGATTAGGGGAAGTAAAGTGACCAGGAGGAAGATAAAGGTTTGGAAGGAGATAAGGATAAGGGTCAGGCGGTGGAGTAGAATTAGGATAGGAATGAAAGTAATGAGGGAAGAACGAGAAGAGGAAGAAGAATGGGAAGAGGAAAAGAGGGAAGATAAGAAGACGGAGCAGGAAGCAGGCATTGTGATAGCACGTCTTTCCAAGGAGCGAATAACTTAAAATTGATCGCAATTTCCACTGGTTGTGGAGTATAACATGGTGACCACTATAGTCAGCCGTACTGGTCTGTTGTTGTACAGAAGTACCAATACTAAAAAAGGAAAAATGCTTAATCTACCATCACTCAGGTGTACCAGTTTAAAAAAAAAGTGGAAAATTGCACAATCTAAACTTGCGAGGCAGGTCATTATTTCAGGGAGTTTGAGGGCAGGAACACAATATTGTGACATCGTACATGCATTCATCGATGACCACTGTTGGCGGGAGCATTATCACAGTTGAATCAAACACAGAGAGTGGACAGGGTCAAGCGTACAGAGATGGTCAATGGTGAAAAATGCCAATACACAAATACTGAGCTGGATTACCTACGAAGTAAAAGGATCTAGTGTTTTTAATTTGACTACGCACACCAGTCCCCGGTCGAGGAACGAGGCGGACACGGGAAAACTGCGGCATACCGCTGTAATCGCCTCTTCGGCGGGTTTCTACGCCCAGTCGGAAGTGAACGAGCAGAAGGGTGGCTCATGGAAGAGTAAGGTCAGATGCTACTTGAAGATTCATCACCAAGATGTCCTGCATTTTATGCGTGGTTATCCAGGTGGTTGTACTTAGTTCGGGCTCTGATATGACGATCTGTTCCCTGTTAACATACTTTGAGAGTTAGGGGAGGGACCAGCCTGCGTCTTTCCGGTCGAAGACGGACACTTGGCCAACGGAGTAGACATGCAATGTTGACATTACGATGGGTGGAATGTAATGCAGGCGACCTGGGCTGAGAGCAGGTTTCGGAAAAGCTCATCATGCGTAGCATCCACTGGATTAAAACGCACCATGCATACGCAAAGGCTCGGTACTATCACTGGTCCGACAAGCATCAGAAGAGGCGAAATCAACAACTAATTCTGTCAGGTACCGGTAACAACAGTCAATAAAATTCCTTCAGCGAATAGGTACGTCGCACTGGTTCGCCCACTATCATACCGTTTGCAGCATCAACATAGCACTTGAGGTAGGGGGTTGTGAAGTTGGGGGGATGAGGGTACGCATGTTACTTTAATTTACAAAAAGCGCAGGAACGGCGTTAACCGTAAGCACGACATGACGTCTTCCAATACCACTAAGGCACAGCGGTTTTTCCCGGAGAAGTCCTACAACAGCTGCGTAAAAAAGACCACAAATACCACAGGAACTGGATTGTTTATCACCGATCATGACGCAGACACCGTATGAATGAGGTAGACTTAAGATTCGTGGGTAAAACACTGGATGGGAAACTGCAGTAGGCCGTGGGTGTGCGAGAGAGAGGGAGAGAACGATCCTTGAGGTCGCGGCTTCACAAAAACAGAGCAACCAAAGTAAAATTCTGCCGCTGCTCAGAGTGAACTAACAAAAATAAGGCCTGTTCTACGTTTATACAATCAATGAGAATATGCATAAGCAAACAGGTGTTAGAATGAGCATTGGGCACTTCTGAGAAGAGGGTCCCTTCAAGAGGTAACAGCTTCAGATCATAGCATACTGTGCGCTTAATGCACAACGAAGCAATGTCCTATTTCTGGAGCGCGCTAATGTGAACATTTAAGTCTAACTTACATCTACATCGTGGCCGCTAGTTCGCTCACAGAACAGGTAGACCACACAACGGAGGTGTTCCGAATTATGGCCCAACAGCGGCACAAAACCTGGAGAAGAGTCGGTGAACCAAGCGAATGCGATTTTTCGCAAAGGAATACAAAGTTACATGCTGTCTAACGTAGTCCCACGCGCTGCGCACTAGAAGTCTCAAGACACGTCTTCGGATCTCAAAGCGCTTTCCTACAGACCAGCCGTTCGAGAGAAATAATTTCAATACTTTTCGGTACCTAAATAGGCCACTTAAATAGGACATGGGATTAGGAATAAGCTTCGTTGGACGAAATGCGAGAAGGCCTTGCATCATTGAGTTCAGTATAGTGAATTTAGTATCTAGCCTGCTCGAGCTGCATTTTATAGGAAAAAAACAGCTCCAACTTTAGCAATGACAACTGTAGTTGTAATGATGTTCAAGTACTCATGAGGGATTTCGCCAAAATTACTATTAATGGGATTAAGTACGCAGGTTGGTATAGTCATCG